GGATTTGGCCCGCGGGCCTTGTGTTTGACACATGTGCTCTACGCATATAAAAATGGTCCTATGAACCCCACAGAAATGTTATCATGTAGGAGCTGAGGGTTCTAAACCTTTTTCTCGTGCTCCATATGAAGTACATTTTTCAGAATTGCAAACCTCTTTATCATTATGTAGGTGAACAGCTTACACAAAAATGAGGAAAAATAAATATGTTTTCTCTATGGTAGAGTTTCTGTCCTTTACAGGTTCACTTCCTGAAACAAAAAAACATCACACAGAATCCTGCATGGAAGCAAATCCATCATGAGCAAGAAGGAGCTGGCCTTGCCACTCCTCAGGGAGTACTGTCAGCCAACCCAGGGACAAGTTCACGTTACCTTTGAGGAATGTTCAGATAAGGTTCCTGTGTAATTTCCAGACTCTGAACAAGTGAACAAACTGAGCTAAGTGTTTCCTTAGGCTTGGATCTGATTTCTGTGCACACACCAGAGTGCACTCACAGACCACCCACATAGCAGAGGGATGCGGCCAGGCAATCCCTGCTGGTATTAGTCTCTGCTCCATCATGACATGCTTGCTCTGCTATTTGGATGTAAAAGGGGGCTCAAGAGGAGAGAACACTTAGCCACTCGGTGGCTGATGACAGTCCGGTTGTGGGGGATTACTCTCCCCTTCAGTTCTCCAGCATGATTAAATGGAGCTCTTCACACCATCTGTTTAACTGCTCTGCCTGGAACACCTTCTTCTCCCCCCCACCCCCCATTTGTCTGAAATCCCAGTTTTCTGAGAAGCCTTGTCTGACCAGAAACAGATACCAAACTCCACTGCATTCTGAAACACTTGCTACCTGCCGTATGTCATTTAGCATTTATAACCTCTTTTGGTGCCAGATTTAGTGCCATTTGTGGGAGGCAGTGGTAAAGAGCATATGCCCTAAAGTACTGAAAGGCTTGGGTTCAAATCTCTGTTCTACCACAGCCTAGCTGAGTGACTTGGCAAATATCTAGTTTCTCTGAGTTTCTATGTCTTCAGCTATAAAATGAAACAAGCAACAGTGCCCACCTTATGTGAAGTTATGAGGGTGAAATAGGATAATGCCATCCGAGCAGTTGGCACAGCACTTAGCATGTAAGAAACACAAACTAAAAGCTAGCCATGGTTATTCTTCCTAATAAAAGCACAGGATACAAGGAAGCAGAAATGGTGCTGGACATAAATGGCCAGAACTCAGCATTCCTATTCTCCTCACTGCTATTATGCCATTGTCATTGCAGGAAGGAGCACAGCATGGTCATCGAAAACATGGGCTCAGGGCTCAGACCATCTGGATTCAAATTCTGCCTGGACCACAATCTAGGGGGTGGAGTGATCAGATTTGAACTTTAGAAAGATTATAGTTGAACCTTGAACAACATGGTTTGAACTACACTAAATATATATAGCCCTTCCTTATCCCTGGTTTTTGAATCCGCGGTTGGGAATCCATGGCTGTGGAGGACTGACATTGTTCTACACTGTTTTATTAAAGGGACTTGAGCATTAATAGATTTGGTATCTGTGGAGGGAAGGTTAGAGTTGGTACTGAAACCAATCACCCACAGATACCAGGGAAAGTTATATGCAGATTTGGAAAATTATATGCAGATTTTTTACTGTGTGTATGTGTGTGTGTGTGTGTGTGTGTGTGTGTGTGTGTGTGTGTGTGTCTGTGGTGGGGGTGGGGAGGGGAAGATCCCTAATCCATGCATTGTTCAAACTATATTTGACTTAATGTTCAGAAGATAGGTGGACAAGATATAGAAGGTTAGAAATATTAGAGTTGTAAGGTGAGGGATATATGAGTAGAGAAATAGATGGTTTTAGTGACCGATTGGGGTCTAGAAGATAAAGGAGAAGTTGCTAATGTTAATGATGAAAGTTCTGCTTTGGCCCTTGGGTATGGCTTTAACATAGAGAGAATGTAGTGGCAAAAAAAAAAAAAAAAAAAAGATTTGTAATATGTGGAAATAATGACTTAATGTTATGTTTGAGATTCTTTGGGGCACCTGAGTGCATCTGTCTGGTAGGTGAAGTGGAATTGAGGAGGGCTATTAGGTGGGAGATAGAAGCAGGCTGCCCTCGTGGTGGTTGGATCCATACCGATGGAAGAAATCTCCCATGGAGACCATGTCAGGAAGAACAGTGAAGGGATGGCCATGAGGACCACAAGGATGGAGGAGAAAAAGATGCCTTAGAAAAGCCTGAGAATCAGAGGAGAACAGTGTGTGGAACTCTGTGGAAGGATATTGTTTTTAGAAGAATGAGAAAGCCAACTAAACTGGAATGCCAAGGGCAAGGAAGGCTTAACAATAGCCATAAGATTTGACAAATAGGAAACCACTGGTAGCCTTAATGAGAGCAGATTCATAGACAGAACAGCCGGGTCCCTGTCGGGTACCTGGCACATAGTAAGTACTCAATGTAAATGGATAACAGAGTGTAAAATTGAAACTGAAACCTCAGGAAAATAAGAAAGACACCCAACAGGCATGGAAAAAATTGTAGGTTAATGAGCATATTCAAAGTAGTGGACAAATCCCTCCTCCTCCTCTTCCTCCTCCTCCTCCTCCTCTTATTCTTTATTCTTTCTTCTTTTTTAAATACAAATGCCATGAGAACACAAGCTCAGTTTGTTCCATCCTAGCAATAATTCTTACCTGGAGAGACCAGTCCATACAGGTGACTACTCGGTGCTTGGACCAATGCTCATCATAGAACTGACGGTTGAAAGAAAGGTTGGCTCCAGCCTGGACATCCCTAGGAGGGTTTAAATATCAAAGATAAATATGATGCTTCAGAATGAGGCTTGATCTCTTTTGCTAATGCTGAAAGAATGACATGGAAAAGCATCGTACACCATATTCCCTGAAGCCAAAGCATCCATTTATATAACAAATTCTGTTCGCAAATTAACTACCGAGGGTCACCTTTATGAAAAGCTCTTCTAACCTGGCCCAGAAAAGATTTCCACTTGTTGTCCCAAGCCTGGTATGAAATGTCCAATCTGTTTCAGGTTCTCATCTTGTCCGGTGCTAAAGGAGTCCTCTCCTCTCAGTAAGTTCTATCCTAAAGCAGAGTTTACTAGAAATGTCCCTGTTGTCAAGGGAGCACACACACTTGGAGAGTCTTGGAGACCAGTGCCCCCTTGTCTGGCCTTAGACCAGAGGTGATGTGCATGTTTCTCTTTACCAGTAATTTCTGATGAGCTGCAGTGGTTGCCTCCCTGCTCAATAGCAAGAGGCAAGTTCCACCATGAGACAGACATGCTGGAGGGTGGGGGGTGCACCAAGTGTATGAGATGCTACACATAGACTGAAACAGCTCCGGGGTCTGGGATAATTACACCTGGGCCAGTGTTTACTTGGCTGATACTCAGCTGGCCACCAAACCTCCGCTGAAGAGTGCTTCCCTGGTCCTGCATTTGCTCCATTGACCGAGTGTTTAAATTGAGTCATGCTTATTCTCTGCCAGCAGCTTTTGGATGTGCATAAAAAAAACTGCCTACATTTCTTGGGCTTTGGTTCAAGAATTTCCACACACTCACCTTTTCTTCCCCGTTCATTTGCTTCATTCCGTTGGCTTGCATCCCGCATCACTTGTACTGGGTGACCTGGTTTCAGGTTATTTACTTAGGCTCTAATCAGCTGACTTATTCTGAGGTTTTTTTTTGTTTGTTTGTTTGTTTTGTGTGTGTGTGTGTTGTTTTTTCCCCCCCTCCTGTTAACCCTTTTGTATCTCCAACCCTGCAAACTCAGGTAAGAGGTATATGCAGCCAAGTAACTTTCAGGAAGCCAGAATAGCAGTGGGCCAGACACCCAGAAGGAAATAGCACCTAGAAACATAAACTGAGCCACAAAGTGGGCTTTTATAAAGAAAACAAACATTTCACAACATGTATATTCAAAACACTATTATCTTTTTAACTGTTTAGGGCATTTCAAAACTCCCTTTTGAAACTGTGTTTGGAGCCTGTGCTGTATTCCTTTCAGTGTCTTCAATGTTGTCCTTTGAGAATGTATTTAAATTTTAGAAATAAAAAAACTCAGGTCTGATGAAAAAGGCAGGTGATCTCACCTTTTCATATTGTTCTTGGCATAAAGAAATTGGCGACTAAAAACCAGCTATTTCTACTTCTTACGAAGCTCATAAAGTGCCTCTTTATTATTCCCACGATGATGGTTAGCAGCCACTGCCTTTTACAATGTATAGGTTGCAGTCACAGAGAAAGTCATTTGGGGCCATTTGCTTTTATTGATTACTTTTTTTGTTTGTTTTATCTGTAAATATATCCCTGCATATGTGTTTCTTAAAAGGCAATAGACACAGAATCTTATGGTGTCTAAAGAGGAGAACATTTCTAGTTCCTTTTCACTGTCTTCCACAACAGTTAAGGTCTATCACGTGTTTATTTTCTTCAGTTTCCTATTTGCTTAGACATAAAAACACAGATCTACTGGATATAACATAAATCTCCTTCTGCTGCTTATAAGGGTGTTTTGTCAGAGGACCAGGTACATACGATTCTGCCAGTCTCTATCACCTGGCCTGTTCCCCAGATATCAAGTTCAAAAGCATTTTACGGAAGCACATGATAATTACAGGGAAACTCTAAGCCAGAAGATATAACCAAAGCCCTTAGTCAAAGCTGTTTAGCAAGATCAACCCTGGAATTTCATCCTCCTCTGATTTGTTAGATTCGGGATTTGCAATGGTGACTCACACATGAATTTAGAATCAACAGATAAGTTATTACTGTTTTGTTTTTTATTTTTTAAATGAACACAAGAAACTAACCCATCTTTTTCCTCTAACTCTCGACCACTATAGTCAAAGAAGATGTCCGAGTCTTCGGCCAGCGCTCTTTCAATGACTCGGATGGTCCGATCAAAAAAGATGAGAAATTCCTCTGAATGAAGAATCTGCTGTTTCTCTTCTTCTGTCAGTTCCCTTGGAGGGGCTTTATATGTAAAAGAGATCATTAGGAAAGAAAAAAACAAAAAGGACAATTAAAACATCTCAAGAAGAACCCAACTATTGAAAGAGACTGCTTATCAAAGGAATGATAAGACACGGAGATAAACCCTTGTAAATAGCCAGTCTAAATTACTCCCACATTCACACGGAACTTTTTTTTTTTGCAGACATCTTCTTTGCCAATTTTACAAAAAAAAAAAAAAAAATCTCATACTGCTTACTGTTTTGAAGAGCTAAAACATATTACCAATGAAAATATATTGGTGGGTTCTAAGCAATCAGTTTTGAATAATGTTATTGTCTTTAGAACTAAACTGAAAAAAAAAAAGCTGAAATAATCAATATTAGAGAAATCTAAAACTATTTATATTAGAGACTATTTTAAAGTTGCACACATTAAATAATTAAGAACTAGCTATGCTATAAAACCTGTCCTCTTTCTCTGGGTAAATTCATTTTATTTTAGATGGTAAGCTGATAAGGCTGACTACTACTATATAAATTCCACTCAAAACCTGACATGTCCTTCCAAACCCCAAATATCTTCACTTTGTACACAAACACATGGAACAAATAAATGCTTCTGTAAGACACTCACTATCGCTTATATGCCTCACTTTTCTAGCATGGTTAAGCTTATCACGAATCCTGAAGATGCAAAATAATGAAGCAAAGAAGATGAAAAAACCAGCAATGTGTCATAGTATCTGCAAGAAAGTTCTCTTCAGAGTCACAATTAAGTTACATAAACTGTTTCTTCAGTAGCAGGGTTTATATAAACTGATAAAGGATTAGGAACTCTCCCAGACTGAGAAACCCTCAAGGACAGAAGCTGTCAGCTGAGCCTTTGTGGTCCTTCCTGAACCCCATTCAACTCTGGGCCAGGAGCCTTCAGTCCACGTTTGATGGATGACACTTTCCATGGCACCAGAAGTGCCTAAAGTTTAAACTACGGAAGGAGCAGTGCATTACATTTACAGGTGGGTCCCTGGTGGAATCACTCACCCACTGACTTTTCCAAACACTTCTACCACCATCCCTGTCTAACCAGAACCAATGTCCATATGGCCACGTGCTCAGAGGACTCTTTCAGGTGCAGACCTGGAGTATAATGTTTTATGCAAACATTACTTGCTTCTGTTCATGGTATCTCAAAGCCACTGTTCTGAGAAATGGAAACTGTCCAAAGCTCTTCTGCAGAGCCATGGAGTGGAATGCAAACTTTTCATGTTCATTATGCCTCTCCCCTTCCCAGCGCCCCTTTCCTGCCCCAGACCACAATGCAGGAGGTCGGGAGGGATGGAGTCAAAAATCTGTCCTTGTACAAGAAACTAGCATGACTCTGGTGAAGTTGGTTCACACCTTGAAAAATGCTCTCCAGGTAACATTATAACGAAAAGAATGATAAATCCACTCCAGTAGGAGATCTCCAAAAACAGCCAATCCCATAGTTTTTAAATACAGTTAGAAACATTTTTTTTGCTGCCGAAGTCTGCAGAACCTGAAAGATGCCAGTGTCTGCTAGGACTCTCCAAGAACCCCATCAACTTCTGCTGAGCAGAACTGCCCAGACACTGGCCTGAGAAATAGTGAAAGGACCGTAACAAGAATTCTACAAAACCAACATTTCCTGTGCCATATGTTAGCTTCGATTCTTCAAGCAGTTAAAGATCTAAGTCTGATTTAAGGGTTAAAGATAAGTACACTGGGCAAATAGTTAAGTATTTAATCATTACTCTTTAGGTAGCAATTTAGAAGTCTACTTCTTAAAACTCCTATATATTAGTATAAATTTGAATTTTTCACCTGTATGTAAATTCAAGAAAACAGTAAAACTACTCAATGTAACTAGGCAAAATAAATAAATAACCCTACAAAATGTGAGGGTTATTTTATTTTGGTTAGTACTGTTACATCAATAAATAAACTTCACTAAACAAGGGTACTATAGGACCAAGAAAAATGTCTTATTTTAATAGCCTCATTTAGCCTTAGTCACTGTTGATGGATGACCGAAGCACCCTTGAAATTAGGCAGAGACAGGAATTTTCCCCTTTATTCCATTTCTATAATACTAAACAAACAAACAAACAAACAAACAAAAAACCCTTTATATTCTCTATCTTCTTCAGTATCTTCTATTTCACCTGTATCTTTCCATACTGGTCCATTACCTTGACTAAAAAAATAGTATCTGTGTAATTTTCTGTAATTTTTTTCTCCCCCGTAGCTTATTGTCACTTTGATCTCATCTTTCAAGACATCAACTTCTCTCTAAAAGAAACATAAATGGCTGATCAAAGTGTATTAGCAAAGGCCAAGCTCAGGTAGGTGAAGCAGTAGCCTCTTCAGAGTAGCCTCTTCAGATATTATATCTGACAATACAATATTTGGCTTAAAATTAAATTGCTGCTGGAGCAAAACAAAGGATATATCTTACATGAAGCTTTGATGTCTAACAGGGATCAAATGACAAGATTTGTTAGCACAAAATAATAAGATGCATGTGCAGACAAGTAGTTTTTTGACATCATAAACAATATTCAACTTAGGAGTTAAGTAGGACCACAGGTGTTTTTTTGGGAAAACACACACACACACACACACACACACACACACACACACAAAAGAAACAAAACAAACAAACAAAACAAACTTCTCATACTTAAAAATCTTTAAAATGATAAATGTTGTTACAATGAAATGAAAATATAATGGAGTATCCAAGAACCATACTCAAAAGCTATATTCAGAGATGAAACCTCTCCAGACATTATATTTTATGAAAGAAAATTGGTTGATTAATGGAATCCAGAAGGTTCAAAATATAATTATAAACAATTAGAATCAGAATAGTTTTACCCCAGGATCCCCAAGTCCCCCTGAAATATCTGTTTCTGCAGCTTTTCCCTATCACTGGAACCTAGTCAAATTTTTAACACGTTCGCTGCATGCAAAGAGCAGGATTAATTTAATAAGGCATATCAGAGCAAAATATGGGCATTATAATATTTTATTTTCTTATAAGAAATATTATAGGTTTGTTTTTTTGTTTTTGCAACAAAATTTTTATTATTTCTGCCAAGAGCTAACAATAATTTTTGCATTTAAAGTGACCTTAAAAAAAGGTTCTTTGTAAAAAGCAGAATATGTGAAATTGACTTACATGTGGTCCAAATAACATGACAGATTTCAAACTTGCAAAATTTACCTGAACAGTTATATTTAGCTTGAATAACAAGTATGAAAACATGTGTTGCTTTCATGAAATTCAAAGTTTAGATGGCTGCCTAACTTTGTGAATTCATGTCCTGTAAACTTAAAATCTAGTATAAATTTTATTTCAGGGTTTACTTTATATTCTATTTATTGTAGAAATGTTAATTTATCTTGGTTTTACATACGAAAATGCTTTTTTGTGTCTTTCATGATTAGCTTAACCTATTTTCTTGAGTTTTCTTACCAGCCTTAAGGTGTTTTGTTTTTTTTTTTTAGTTTCTTTTTAATTTATTTATTATATAGTACAATTAGAATCAGAATAGTTTGGTTTATTGGGTTGTTGGGATTTTTTTCCTCTGTAAAAATGTAAAATTCTTCATGAATTTCACAATTCTATTGAGTCTTTTACAGTATCATTTTTTTGTGTGAAAAGTTATTTTAAAAATATTAAATTGTCTTGCCTTGTTCCTATGATGTTGTTTTAAATATAAAAATTACATCTTTTAATGTTTTTCAAGAATATATTTAAAAGACTAAAATAAAATAGATAAAACCCCACAAAGCTTAAATTTAAAATCATATTAAATAGGAGCATGGCTCTTACGAGAATTTTACAGGGAAATCAGTTCATACACAAGCAAACCAAACCAGACTAACAGAGAGGGCATCCTCCACGGACGTTACTGTGAGGTTTAGGAGCTGACATGCGTTTACAGAAGTGAGGTTTCCGGTGCTGTTGTTTCAAACCTCCAAACCTGAAGACACAGACACTCCCATATACAAATTCCCTCCGTTTTGATTAAAAGCTAAAATGTACCTGCTGTTTTTCTCTCCTCTGTTGTGGAAAACAGAGTGAAAACAGTCATACAACAAACCCACATTTCTTTATTGTTTAATGCATTCTGATGTCACTTGGGCAAAGATGTCAAAAGCTAGTGAGCGCTGATTATTTTCCCATCTCCCTCGCCACTTTTTTTTTAACTCTAAAACAGGCCAGATTTCTCAAAAATGTGTTCACTGGTTTGAAACCATGTATGTCAAGTTTCAGCCCAGAGCAAATTTTTATGGCTGAGTAATAAATCCCTACAACTCAAGGTTCATAATGGAAGTGCTGACACAGCCCTAACTACCATGCAGCCATGTGAATGGCGCCACGATTATATCTGCTAGAGATTCTCTCAAAAGTTTGCAAAGTACTGTCTTGCTTTGGAAAAAAAAAAAAATGCCATTGATGCCATCATAAGCATGCTTTTAACCCATTATGTGCTAATTTGCAGAAAAGCCATTAACAGAGTCGCACCACGCAGCAGTAACAGAAAATGTATTGCAAACATCTTCTTGACTTTTAACAGGACTTTAATCAGTTCCATGAAGCATGAGTAACAGTTGAAATTAGAGAGTGTTTCTGCTCAGAAGTGAAGAAGGTGGTTGCAATGTTTTGCCAGAGTAGACAATTTGGAGGTTAGGGTGTGTGTGTGTGTTTGTGTGTATGGGGGGGTGATCTGTGCCAAGACACGCAAAACATGCCCCATCTCCTTATCCCCCAGTATATCTTAAGGATATTTTGCAAAAGCAAGAAGAGGGTATCTTAGTAAATTCTGATTTATTTTGTCTCACGCTACACCTGTGTCAATGATATTTTACTCACCAGCTTTAAAAAAGCTTGTTTTTAGTAGAAGTTTGGATGTGAAATCTCTTCAATCAAATCCATTTAGAATCTCTCACGAAAAGTTTTGTCCCTCCCGTGGATGCCGCTATAAAAGATGAATCCACTCCTTGCCCTCCATTGTGCCCCAGAACTTGACCGTAACCAACCTCGGTGCCTGAGCAGACTAAAGTGAGTACACGTGACCAGTATGTACTCTTTCCCTCAAACATCCCCAGTGACAACCATGTGACACACATTGTGCCAGAGCCACATGTGTCTTTAAATTGTTAGGTCAAATGGGCTTCTAATTAGTTATGTTGACCTATATGGTGGGCATTCAGTAGGAAATATGAAAGGATCTTTTAAATCCACACTCTGTCCTCACAGACACTCATTGGTCAATAAGAATGACAATTTCAGAGTTCTTTTTTATCTGCAGGGCTGAGAATCTCAAAGGGATAATTTTTTAGGGAAACAGCACCTGTAGTATTGTCTTCCCCTTTCTTTTCCGTTGTTAAAATTTTTAAAAATTTCAATTACAGATAACATACAATATTATATTAGTTTTGGTGTACTGATTAGACATTTCTATGCCTTCAGAGAGTGATCACCCCATAAGTATAGTACTCATCTGATACCATACATAGTTATTACAATATTATTGATTATATTCCCTATGCTATACTTTACACCCCATACCCATTTTATCTTTTGCTTTAGTTTTCTTGTTTGTGGGTTGTTGTTGTTTTGCTTTCTTGTTGTGTTATCATTGGGAATATACAATAAAGCTTCTAGATAGCACAACAATTGGTAACAAATGTCTTATTTTCTCATTATTCAGTAGTAATTTCACTGAAATCATGACTGGATTTGTTGCTGGAATTGTGGATGGTTTGCACTTTATTTGCCTCTATCAGTCAAAATTAAAAAAAAAAAGTGACTATTGCTTTGGAGATTGAAATTCATGCTGCTAAATGTAATGTATTGAACAATCATAGAAAACTTTCCCACACAGAGGGTGCACATTTAATTTTGACTTACCTCTATAGTCCCTTAATGACACAATGTATCTCCCACACCATACCTTCCTTCACTTCCTGTTTTTTGTCTCCATTTTCCAGTTCTGAATCGTGGCCAATTTTAGGTTCCACCATTTCCTCATCATCTTCATCCTCTAGAAAAAAAGAAAGAGAGCAAGAGCAATGCACTATTATTGTTCCTTCAAATCAAAGCCTTGGTTGATGGTGGGAGGTAGGGGCAAAGGGTAAAGTTCCAATCATTTAGGGCAACTTCTAAGTGAATCAGTCCCCAATGAATGCCCAAGATCTATGTTCATGAATATATAAATAAATTATCTCCAAGAGGAGCCTCTTTGAAAGTACCCCCAAGTTGCTGAGAAAGCCGCCCTGAGTCAGCACCTGCTACCTCCATCTCCAGGCCCTCACCACATGGGCTGTCTTGGAATTGCCTCTCTGACCTCTGAAGCTTCTTCAGAGATGGCCCCAAAACAGATCTTAAAATGTTTCCACCTGGGGCACATTCTCCACAGGGGACACCTGCTGTACAGACGACTCATTTCCAATTTAATTCTCACCAAATTAATTTGTTTTTGACCTACAGGAAAGGGTTAAATACAAGTCTGACCCCAGGTCAAATGCCATTGGCAAGTAAACCACCAGGGGTAGGGCCCCCAAAAGTCATTGCCATTGGCCTCTGAGAAAGCAGCCAACCCACATGGCATTTACACATCCAGAGCAGCTCATGCATTAATGTGAATTTAATGAGCACTAACAAATGGACCCAGGAGGCTACCACTGCCAGATGTTATAGTGCCCTTCCTGCCCTATGCAAATGTGTGCTCACTCTCTGCTCTCAACCTGCCTGACTCAGAGGCCCCTTTCATTGTAGGCCTTTTGGAATCATCAGTCACAATTTAGGGGAGAGTCCAAATGTCACAAGAAAATCCAACTTATAAAAATAAAATGACCCAAAGAACTAAAACTTGCTTTCACAGTTTTTAATACATTACCCCCACTCCTAAGTATTATATTCATCGAAAGTTACTAATTTTGTTGGTTCAACTGGAGTTTAAAATAAATGACTTCATTTCCTTCCCCCATACATTCATTCATATATTCATTCATTCAACCAATAGTTACAAACCTTCTATGAGATCTAAAGCTCTATATATAGTTCCATTTCCATCACAATAAATCCCGACACATATCAACTCAAAACTTCAGCACCAAATAATTATAGAATGCCCTATAAATGCATGTATAAATGTCCAAATAAATAAATATGGATAGCCCAAAAAGTAACTCCAAAAGTTCCCACTATATTAAGCAAGTGATTTGTGTAAGGAATATCAATTTTTAAAATATGGATGTATAAAGTATAGCAGTGCAATTTAGATAATTAAATTTTTAACTGAAATATATTACTCTGTACACATCATCAACCTCATTACCTTATAACCACATTATCTATCTATCTATCTATCTATCTATCTATATAAAGAGGTAATATACAAATTAGCTGAGAAGCCATAACAGTCATGACTGGTCAGGAGGAGGCTGCATGCAGGTGAGGCCTGGAGCAGAGACGGAGACAGAGACAGAGGGGCCTGCCCAAGTCACCAAGGCCAAGGGCAGGCCCAGAGAGGAGAGGGCAGGCCCGTCTGCAGCCTCCTCGGCAGAGTGGAGGCCAGGAAGGGAGAAGGGAGAGGACCCGTGCTCAGCTGCCAAGGCTGAGGGCAGGCCCTCACCGGTAGTCCTGGCTCTGCACATGAGCCGCACAGGAAACACCTTTTCTGACTGCTCATTGGCTAAGCTCCCTGTATGCCACTCGCAGTGTTCTTGATAACCTGCCTAATAAGAACCCAAGAAGGTGATCTAGGGTTTTTCCACTACACTCCTGGGATAAGAAACAAAGGTCCGCTGCTAGAGGGTCTAAGAAATGTCATATCCTGCCCTAGTTGGATTGGCTCAGTGGATAGAGCCTCAACCTGCTGACCGCAGGGTCCAGGTTCAATTCTGGTTAAGGGATTGTACCTAAGTTGCAGGGTTCCCCCTGGCCAAGGCCCAGGTCAAGGTTCATGCAGGAGACAACCAATCAAAGTGTCCCTCTCACATTGATGCTTCCCTCTCTCTTCCAGGCTTTCTAAAAATGAATGGAAAAATATCAAGTGAGGAAAAGAAAGAAAGAAAGAAAGAAAGAAAGAAAGAAAGAAAGAAAGAAAGAAAGAAAGAAAGAAAGAAAGAAAGAAAGAAAGGAAGGAAGGAAGGAAGGAAGGAAGGAAGGAAGGAAGGAAGGAAGGAAGGAAGGAAGGAAGGAAGGAAGGAAGGAAAGAAGGAAGGAAGGAAGGAATTAAGAAAAGAAAGAAAGAAAGAAAGAAAGATCATATCCTATGAAACAGACATCTTGAAAATGCCTAAAGAAAGTTGTCATTTTTTTGTGGTGAAGGGACTTGGCAGCTGCAGTGCCTGGCAGTGGCACAGCAGCAGTGGGGTGACGAAGATGGTGCCTTCCCCTGATCAGTTGGGTTGCCTCCTGCAGAGAGAGGCCAGACTGCAGCTTAGGCCTGCTCCCTGGCTAAGTCGCCAGTAGGACATCCCCTCAGGGCTCTTGGACTGTGAAAGGAGGCAGTCTGGGCAGAGGGACCCCCCCTCCCCCAGTGTATGAATTCATGCACCAGGCCTCTATATATACATATCAGAAGAGAATGTAAAACTCTTTTAAGGAAAACTGTCATTTATTAATAATATATTTGTTAATACATATTGATGAGATAAAAAGTTGTTCTGAAATTTTGAAAAGAACACAGATTTTTAGATAAATAAATCTTTATAATGTTAATAATGCTTCTAAGACCTTACCCCTGTATAAAGATATTACTGCTATCTACCCACTGCAAACCTGCTTGGAAATTCCTAAAACATTCGCCAACATATGTTGTATTTTCATGATCCAAAGACCTAACACAAAGCCTGGTGAGGCACTGGCTGGAGGGAAGTGTCCCCTTCTGCTAACCCTGGATGGGGAAGCAATTTTCCAAAGGACTCTCATTTGCTGAGAAAAAAATGGCCCCATTTCTAAACATTCTAGAGGCTTTTTCAGAAAATGCAATGGATTCAGCAGCAACACCCTGAAGCTTACTAAATGCCAGCAACTCCAACAAACAAAGGTGGGTAAAGCCCATGTTGTTATGTGTTGAACTGGGCACCCCCAAATTCATATGTTGAAGATCTAAACCCAATAGCTCAGAATGTGATCATACTGGAAATAAGGCTGTTGCATATATAAGTAATTAACATGGAACCATACTGAAGTAAAATGGGCACCTATTAACCCTATAAAAAGGGGAGGTTTAGACAAAAACTCACACCCAGGGAGAATGCCCTGGGAAGATGAAGGTAAAGACTTGAATGATGCTTCCACAGGCCAAGGAACACCAAAGATTGCCAGCAAGCCGCCAGAAACCAGGGAAGAGTCATGGAAAAGTTTCTTCCTCAGAGCCTCAGCAGGAACCAACTCTGCCAACACCTTGGTCTCAGAATTCTACCATCCACAGCTGTGACACAGAAGCTCCTGTTGTTTAAGCCACCCAGTTGCTGGCACTTTGTTCCAGCAGCCCTAGCAAACGA